GAGGGCTGCCGGGCGGGAGGGCGCCCGGCGCGGTCCGGCGAGTTCCGCTTCCGCGGGAACACCCGGCCAGCAGCGCTGCAGGGCGGCCTGCCTTCGGGACGTACCCTCTCCTCTGTTAAACAAACTCGTATTTCATTCGCCAAAATCACGCAGATTACCCGCTGCTTTTAGCTTGTGTTCCTTAGGAAGTAAAATTCCGAGGGCCGCTCTTCGCCTCTGCAACTCCCCCAGCAGTCCTACCAAGGTCTCGCGCTCGAAGTGAGCCAAAAAAGTTCAGTTATTTGTCAAAAGTTGAGTTTTAGGAGGGTTGGAAACCTATTTATGAGCTTGAATCTAGACTGCGTGACGTACCGCTGTCAAAAAAATCGAATACCTTAAGTTCCGGCTCTTGATGTTTTTTAAGTTCTACTCTTCCGCTCCGCCAGTGTGCACGTGAAGCAGCTGGATCTGCTCCCCGACATTAACTGTCGCGGACGTTGAGACCTCTCCCTCGCTCCTTGAATGGAGATGTAAGGATTCAGACTCCAACAGCCTGTAAGAGTAATAACAAGTATATATTTTTTAAAGTTTTTTGATGAAAAAGCACTTTTATATGGTGTGGTAGGATTTATATTCTTCTTTTCTCTTTTATCTGTAAGGGCCTTTTCAGGAAAGGCAGGCACAACTGCGGGAAGAAACCAATGAAGGAACCACTCGGGAAGTGTTTGCATGCAGTATTTCCATAAACCCCCAAACCTTGAAGGTTAAATTAAATCCCGGTGGTCCCACTAATGCTTTTCAGAAACAGACCGAGGCAAAAAATGGACTTTTGAGATGGTCTGTCATCCTTAAAATTGACGCTTTTAACAACAGGATTGTTGCAAATCCGTTTATATTGCAAAATTCTTCATGTTGCAAATTCTTCATGTGTATATTCTAATTAACCGTTGATCACAATTAAGTCACTATTCTGTCATCAGATTAAAAACTTACCCGTTTTTCTTTCTTTTTCTGCTTTTGCTTTAAAAAAGAAGCATCAAAGGCCTGGTCTGAAGCCAGACTGCAACAACAGGAACTTGTCCATTAACTTGAACAGACTCGAATCAAACTCTGAATTACAACTGGGTGGCAATTTTACCTAAAAGTTTCTTTCAGTGGGAAGAAACTTTTTTTGAAAGCTTCCCTGGGAAAGACTTCTCAGCTTCCAGATGGAATTTCTAGTGAGAACGAGTGACAGAATCGCTCTGAAATAGTCTCACTTGAGATGTGGGCGTTTCAGATTTGTGCTCCCGCTTTGCCTGTTCCAGGCGCTCCCACGTCTTGCAGAAATAGACTAAGGATTGGAATATAAAATTGGTATCTGTTTTTCTAGACAAGTTAAAATTTAACTATTTATCAGCCCAAACGCTCCAAAAAAGAGATTGATGGGAAGCCTCTCTTGTCCCTTTTCCTCTACAAAATGTTCTCTGTTTCACGGTAACTGTTTCCCAAGTGCACTACCAAGTTCATTATCCTGTGAAGGATTAGGTAAGGTTTTATTCTAAGAGAAGAAGATGTTTGAAAAGGAAGTTAAGTGAACCCTGAAATAAGGAACGTAAACATTTCGTTAAACTAACAAAAAGCACAGTTACCTGCTGGTCTAAATATTTAATTTCAAGGAGTCGTGCAAAATCAATACTAACATTACCATTGTTATCTAGAAACAAGATACTACGCAACAACAAACTCCATAACCCATGGAGCCGTACAATGAAACGGCTTCAGTTAATCAGAAAATCATTCCGAGGACATCTCTACAGATGAGCTGAATTGGATTTAAAGTCCCTACACAGCAACAGAGCTACCCAACGGAGACTATGAAGAGCCTGGACTCTTTAGCTGGTGGCTCTTCTACCCACCCATGGGCAACAATGTTCGTGAATCTGCGTTTAATATCCTCGTATGCTTCCTTTCTTTCTCTCCTGCTCTCCTACAGTCCTCTGTTGTATTCCTGCACTTACTTGCTACTCCTAATCCTGCAGCAATTTGACACTTACTCTCTCTCTCCAGATGCTTGTCCAGAGTTTGTACACAACTTTCTAGCTTTCTTGCTGAGGTCTTACCCTCCCAGCAAGATTGCAGGCCCATATGCTGGAAAGCTGTTACGTTTCAAACTGCTGGCAAGACACATGCCTACGTATGTTGCAGTGTAACGGCAAATAATCACGTTTCCTTTTCATTTTATATTGTGGCAATTGTGTTCAGAAACTTTTAATGCAACATTGTCACCTACACATTCTGGGTTTTATTGTTGTAACTGATTTAAGCAGCTACATATATAGTGACCTCCTTCCCCCCCCCGCCCTAGAAATCTGAGTAAAGAGAGACTAAGTTTGCTTGAATTGTATAGCAAGTAGTATGTTTTAAACCATCAGCTTTGAAAGTGCTGTATGACTTCAGGGATGACAGTATGAAAAGGAAATATTTCACATTAATAGGTAACTTTTTAAAGACTCTCTGTCCTTATTAAGTAAACAAGACTATAGAGGGAGTACAGCCCTGGCTGTCATAATAAGGAAGTGAAGCCTAACAGGCTGTTACAAAAGGCTGTGTTCAGCAGAGGTTCATCTTGACAACGTATGACTTGGTTCTTGATTTGACAAAACGTCAGACAATCTGATCCTAGTTATTGAGCAAAAACCAAACCAGCCAGCCTTGGTGCACTGGTTTAGGGTGTTAAAGTCCCCCCGACTTGCTACCCCTCATGAGTGCTAAAAGTTTCTGTCCCTGTAGGAGGGGCAGCAGGATGGAGCACGAGCCTGTTCTTCAACCCCCCAACACAAAGCCCAACACTTTAAGAAGAGTTTTACAAGCAGCTGTTTTGGCAGCTCCTACCTGGCCACTCGTTCATGCCTGTGTGCCCTGGCTCACTTGTGCTGGTACAAGTGGCGAAACTGGTGAAACACGAAGCGAGTTAAATCACCCAGAGAGGAGAACAAAAACACGGAGAATGGCTGAACCGGCACACAGCCGGGCGCGTTTCCCTAGGCAGCAAGGCTGGCTTAACGGGTTCCCAGCCTCCACTGCTCATTCTGACTCCCACACTGCTCGCTGCCCCCTCAGCTGTCAAATGGATGTCTAGGTGAGCTGTGATCACGGAAGCAGTTCCGCTTACACGTACAAATATATCCCAACCCCCTCCAGTATGTATTTTTTGATTCTGGCCCATTTCAGGGACCCAATTCACCGTCTGGCCCCGAAACAATTGTGCTGATAACCCTGCTGGGGCAACTATGATGTGGGTGAAAGGGCCGGGGATGGCACCTCTTTAGCCACCTGAGAAAGAATGACGAGATTACGTGCTCAGGACAGCGGCCACATTGTAAAGTGGCAAGGGAGCTCAGACAAAGCGTAATACTGTTTATTTTTGGACATCATCATGGAGAACAATGAGCAATCTCCGCCCAAGGCCAGTTTACCGCGCACGACTCCCCTCCTGCAGGGTGCGTTCCAAGAAGGGGCTCCCTCCCCATCCTGCCGCGGCGCCCCGATGCGTGCCAGAATCTGCTGTCAGCCCTTGACCGGAAAGGGAGCGCCTTTCTCCGGGATCTAGCAGTTCTGCACAACTCTCTGGTCTTTACTTGGTAACTTCCTTCAACCAGGTCAAAAGAACAGGGTATGTGCTTTCCCTCAGGTGGGCGTGTTTTTCCAGAAATGTTTATGACTCGGGGAACTCACTGACGCAGTGACAAAATTTGGCCATGGGTACTAAACTGGCCCTGAATACTTGTAGGCTGGAAATCAGAAGAGTATTTCTAGTAATCAGACCAGCGAGGAGGGGGAGTAACCTCGCAACGGGATTCATAAAGGCAAAAATCTAATTACTTTTGAGTTAGAGCAGAGTTATGAAAGGAATTCCACAACAGCAGGGCCTCTGAGGCTTGTTTCTCCCCGCATCCTTTAAGGAATGTTCCGAAAGGCGCGTGTGACGTCCTACGGCGCTGCCCTAACGGGAGCTACCGGGAACGGTGTAAAGCACCGTGCCTTCGACAGGGAGAGAAAGGAAAAAAAGCTGCACGGTGCGAACTTGTGACTTTTCGAAATTCGAAGCCAGAGCACGCAACTATGCAGTTCAGGCTTCCAGCGTACGTGAAAACAGCCGCTTGTCTATCAGCAGATCATATTCGGATTTTACGGCTCTCGCAGTTAGAAGTCTACCTCGCATGACGTTTACCCGCCGAACACAAACGCACGTAGGTGCGGGAACAGCCCGTCGGCCTACCACG